TATATTAAAATAAAACAAAACCAACATGCCTACTTTAAAATAATTTTTCAGACATGAAGTGTTGTGTAAGTGGTGACTAATGACAGAAATTAGAATATATATATGTGTATATTTACATAGACACACATATATCAGCATGGACTTCTTGATTCAGAAACTCTACTTTATTCTTTGCTAAATAGTTGTTGAAGTCAGCTATGACCTGTTTATTAAGATCAGACAATTGTACTCATTACTAATATGTTAAGTTTTCTAAATATGGCTAGAAAGAGCCACCTTTTCTTTGATTTGTAAATCTTGGTGCGTACATTCATAAAATGCTCCATTTATGGGAATAGAAGGTTTGTTTTTCATTACTTTTGGCCTGGCCTGTTCTTTGCTCTTACCTGAACCTAATCTAGATTGAAAGAGGATAATTTTCTATTTAAAAAAAAATCCTTTTCTAGTAAATATACTCCATTTTCAATTCAATTCAACAAGCATTTATTAAAAGTACCTCCTATAGGCAGAGTGCTTTGTGGTAATAAATGAATTATCATGATATGTCTTAAAAGGTTTTCAAGAAGAAAAATGCTTTTAAAAGATTTGTTGCAGCACTAAACTAATTTCTGTCATAGGCTTGGATGTCTCTTTAAAAGAATAGTCAGTGCATACAAGATGTAGAGTAGACTGCAAATCAGATCATTATTTGTGCTTTCATTGGGTGGTTGTATCTCCAATGATAGTGACCTTGTGAATTAAGATCATACCTCACACCTGTGTTTTTTGGCTTACCCTATGCATTAGACAATCCTGAAGCTAAGTGTCAGATGTTGCTAAACAGTGGTCATCATAGATGGTATCCTGTAGACACTAGAATCTGAGGATGAAGTAGACTCATTGTTTTTTAAAGTAATTTACAAGTTACTGTCTGTGTTTAAATATCCCCTTCATCAGAGGCAGCTTGGTGGACAGAAGGCATGTTAGCCGACAGAGGACTGGATTCAGGTTTCTGCCTGTGACCCAGCCTAGCTGTGTTTCTCAGTACCCTAGGCAGTCTCTAAATATATACATTACAGAGAAAGTGCTGATTTGCCTTGGTAGAGAGAGTTGCTTCACCCAGGAATTCCCTGTATCAGTGAAAGACTTGCTCTATCCCTTTATTGAATAAGATATCTTTTTGTCATTTTAACTTACTAAATCTGACATATTCAATGTAAAACTCTCTTCCAAAATCCCATAGTCCCCCAAAGTAAAAACAGAATGTAATCTCTCTGGATCTCTGTTTTTTGTCCATGAAGGCCCTGTTTTTCCTCAAGGAATTATCATTTTGAATTTTAGTTTGTCACCAGAAAACATCTCTATTGACTAAGTTGCAAATATACAAATGCAAAGGAGATAAAGACTTTTTTGTTTCTTTTTGGTCAGATACTTTGAATCATGGGGAGGCAGTGTGATAACATATTGAGAAATGGAGCATTGTAGCTAGAGACAGAGACCTGGATTCGAATCCTAGGTCTGCCACTTAGTACATACCCTGCTTGACCTTGGTGAATATTTGGCTTCTCTGAAATGCAGCTGCTTCATTTCTACAATGAGGAGGTTGAACTAGAGGACTGCTAGGGTATCTTCAAGCTCTCCCTTTAACTCTTTGATCCTACTGTGCTCCCTGCAGCCCCAGTTACACATCCTAATGGGTGAAGAAATTATTAATGTGATGAAGACATGATTCAGTCAAAAATTTTAAATTACACGTATATGTATATATAATGAATACACGTATATACATATACATACATGTACACAAACATATATACACATACATACATGTATGTATATACATATACATATATATTGGCCCAAGAATTATCTTGATTCACTCTTTCTTTACAATGTGTCATCACCTTTACTTCCTTTATATTCACAGTAAGATATAAAATGTACCCTGTGATGGTAGAATAGCTTGATCTGGGCCTCATTGTTATTTTTTTTTGTGGGAAAGGAAAACCTGGTTTTTCAGGTATAGTCTTTCTTTATCCAACAAGCCATCAATTCCTCACTCGTCGTTTCTCCTCCAATCTCTTACTAACCTTTTCTTTCTTCTCTGAAATCCTTCACATCTAGAAACTTTTATACTTGAAACATTCTTTGCAAGAGATTTCCATACTCCTACTCCATTGGTTTCTCCTTGCCTATAGCCTCAGGGCTGGGAAGCCAGTCTTCCTGCCTGAACCGAATCTCCCCCTCTATTTCCCTACTCCTACCCCCTAACAAAACCTTTAAGCCGTTTTGGCCATCACCTCCTAAATGAACTGAGCAGTCACCACCATCTTAGCCAAATGACCTAACCCTTGGACTACCTAAGTTCCCCATAGCTGAGTCCTCGACCATCATGAACACTGTCTTAGAGATGAGGTTCCCTGGCAGCATCCATGGCCATATCCCTTCCTTGTCCCTTCCCTACCCCACTTTGAGATGTTAATCCTGGACCCAGCAGGAAGTATGCCAAGCTTGGAAGTGTCAGCTCTGGCCCTGTTATAAGGGGGTTCAGGGACTGCCCCAGTTTGGAGGGGCCCATCCCGGCCCAAGTGTGAGAAGTTCATTGGGCTGCCCCCTATTATTCTTCCCTTTTTGACTGCTGTCTCATTTTTGGGGGGGTTGTCTTCATTTCAACCACAAGGCTTTCCTTTTTAGGACATCTCTTAAACACCCCAAATAAAAGGGCTTCTTTTCATTATTGAAATGCAGAAAACATGAGTGATTCAGTCAAATGCTTTTTTTTTTAAATTGCATATATTGCAGGGAGGTACATTGGCCTAAGAATCATCTTTATTCACACATTCTGCCAGACACCATTTCCTTTTCTCCTCATTTATATTCATTCTGAAATGTAAAATACATTTGGTGATGATAGAATAATTTCAGCTTTATTATCATTGTATTATAAAAGAATCAGATTTTACCATGGTTGTTACAAACATTGTATATTTATTATTCACCTACAAATATCGTTCTCTGATCTATAAAAGCCAAATGGCTTCCAGTATCAAGTTAGAAACTACAGAACACAATTTGCTTTTTTCCAAAGAAATTGATGTATAAAAGTAGCCACTCTTAAATTATGGCTTTGTATGAAACTCTCATAATATAGAAGTTGACTTGAAATGATTGAAGCACGTAGATATCTAAGGTAGGCTTGGGGTTCTGGTTTTAGAAAGTCATTTTTAGGAAGAAGGAAATCACACTTTATTTGAAAATCTGTTGTTTTGTTAATGGTTCTGCCTGCCCTTTGTACAACTTTTTTTTTGGTCAGCAGGAACATATTACTGCCTGCTGGGTTCACAGCACTGTGTTAGCAGCTTTGGAGTCCATGGTTTGCCGCAGAGACTACAAGCAACCTTTGATATTGCCATCCATTTTAATTAACTAAAAGTTGGTGACCCTCCATAAACCCAACAAGTCAGAGGTCTCATTAGAAGTGCTCACTCAGCAGCCAGGGAGGAAAGTAGAGTGGGAATAAATTAAGAGCAAAGAACCACTGACATGCATCCAAATATCTTTTCCTGGCCATTAATCAAATCACCTAAGAAAGTTTGCAGCAGCATAAATACACCTGCTTTCTACTCCCTGAATCCTGCATAAAAACCTGGTGACTTGAAGAAAGGGCATATCGGTGGAAAAAGGAAAATGGCTTCAGTAGATACTCGTCTGCCTTTTTTCCCCCTACCTCTTCATATAAGTGAACCCTTTTATGAATACCATTCCAGTATCCCCACACTAGTCCCTTTCCATGAATGTCCTCATCGGTTGGGTGTGCCAGTCTCTGTTGTCATGTTTATCATATTCCCCCATGTACCTTAGCTTCTTAAATGTTGAGTTGGTATCTTACAACTTGTCAGTGCTAGCTGGGCTTTGTGATCAAATTAGACTATAGAAGCAGTTATGGTTATTAAATATTGGAAATCTTATTCACTTTGATATTCCTTTAAATTTTTAGTATTTGGATCACACCATTTATCTCTTAGTTTTCCTAATTTCCATGTGTATAGAGTGAGATGTCCAGGTGTGTCATTTAACTAAACCTTAAAAAGTGGTGTGTATTCACACTTTCTTGTGTGTGTGGGGGGGGGGGGGTGCCTTTTTTCTAAGACCAGGGCAGCCCCGTAAAAAATGCAGAATATAACCAGCATGGTTAGCATTACATAAAAATTGGCTTTACAAGCACTGAGGGCTTCTTGGATTTTTTTTTTTAATGAGCATGATTTGCATTTGATGTGACAATTATTTGAGCCTCATAAGGGCTCCAGAGATTCTCGAGTCTAGAGATCTTGTTCATAGGAAAATTCTAAATCTTATTACAGGTCTTGACTCAGATGAAGAGCTTGGTCTGGTCTGTCACCACACAGCCTATCTAGGTGATGGTTTGGGGTTGATCGTTTTGGCTCGTGATGCTTCGTAAACTTTCCTTTATATTGCTAATGTCTGCACGTCTGCATGGTTATCCGAGCTCTGAGGGTTGGGAAAGCAAAAGGGAAGGTGGACCCTGTCGTTTGTGGCTCAAATTGTCTTTCCCATTGGTTTGGTTTTTGGTTTTTGTTTTTGTTTTTTGTTTTTTAGGGAAGGGGAGGGGATAGATAGGATCAGGCATTTTAAGAAGACCAGTCTTCTAATTTTTTATAAATGAGCATGAACTTAGCAAACAAATTCATTCCACGAAAAAGTGAACACTTTGGGCGCTGAGGATTTAAGAAAGCATTTTGCTACAATAGCTCCATCCTCATAGCTCTGATATGTATATGCTGCTCTGGCTGGCAAGGACAACCAACCATAATGTTTTCAGGATGTGTGATGGCTTGCCTGGTTAAACCAAAACAGGATTTAACTAGAACTAGTTTGTGGGCTTTATTTTTTTTAAGGCCAACTGTTTGAACATTAGCCTGTGGATTCATTTTCAGTAGGAAATGTTGCCTAACCTAATTGTAGCTAATCAAAAGCCTTGTGTCTGTTCTTTCCCTCTCTAGATCAGAGAGTAGCGTCCTTCTGCACCCTGACAGATATGCAGCATATGCAGGGCTTGGAGGGAACCCAAGAGTTATCTTTATGTGTAGACCCAGCCAATGGGAAAGATTTCATGGATACAGATGGGTAAGTAACCTTTTATAGGGAGTAGGGACTGGGTGGAAGAGGGGAGGACAGGGGACCGAGATAAGTCATATCCTTCTGACTTGTCCATTTTTGTTTTGGTTTAGAAGTCATGGTAGCATATTTTTTTAAATTAATGTAAGCCCACCTGGTTTTCTCCTCCCATTTATTTATTTATTTATTTTAGGCAATTGGGGTTAAGTGACTTGCCCAGGGTCACACAGCTAGTCAGTGTCAAGTGTTTGCTCTGAGACCGGATTTGAACTCAGGTCCTCCTGACTTCAGGGCCGGTGCTCTATCTATTGCACCACCTTGCTGCCCTCTCTACTCCTATTCTTAAAAGAAATCTTGAGCATCCCCTTCAGAGAGCAGTAGCCTAAAAAGAACATTGGGTGTAAATTTATTTCCTTTTTTTAACAAATGACCTAGAATGAGGAAAGTTTTCAGACCTTGAGTCTTTCCATAAGGAAAGGCTAATTTTCATTTACAAAATAATCCACAAGATCTTTAGAAAGGAAGAGGACAGTGCTGTCAATAAAGTCCTGGAATCGACAAGACTGAAATAACTCCACCACCGCCACCACCAACAGCAGCAGATAAGATTTCTGAGGAATAGACGATTCTGACCCAAACAGAAAAATAAAAAAGAGTCCACACCCACTTGGGTATATTCATTTGTTGATTTTTTTAAAACATTTATTAAAAAAGCAAAAGGTATGATCCTCTCAAATAAAACAATTAAAAATGGTAAAGCAGTAACAAACAAATTGTATACTAGAAGCATCCAATTGTTAGAATTTTCTCTCCACTCCTCAAGTCATCTTAGCAAGTTCAGTGATTTTCGAGCTTGCTGCTAACTGCCCTCATCATCATAGTGCAGATAAAATCAAACTTTATAAAATTAACATTTTAAGGTTAAATACACAGTGATAGGTGTTCTGCCATCCAGGGATGTGCTGGAGTCAACCTGAACCAGTTCACAAGAGCCAATTTTAAAATTTTCATAGTGAGCTTTTACCTCTCACAAATCAACAAATGTTACAAATGTTACAAATCAGTGCTTGATTTTATGGTTTTTATTATTATATTTATATTTATTATTATTGATTTATATTATTTTGTTGGTTGTCTAAACTTAAGAAAGCAATGGATAAAATGTTCATGCAGATTAAACTTAAAAGTGCGCCTCTCCCAAACCAGTTACTAAATGTTTGGGAGTACACCCCTGCTCCCGTCCCATTGGAATGTGAGATTCTCCAGCAATCCACTTCAGGTAGACTTCAGGGACAGAATATCTGAGCAACAACTGGCTCAAAAATTCACCTGTACAGACTTCAGCGTAGGTTCCAATTTAAACAGCTGAGAGTCTTTGATCCAGAAGGTGTCTGGAATCTCATTCCCAGCCATTATTTTTCCTTGTGAATTAACATTCAGTTTCTGTTGATGTAACCAGTGTTTGGGACAGATATAAAGCACTTCAGTCCAGGCAAGAGAATAATTTTCACACAGATACAATTTCTCTGGCTTTAAGAACCCAAATAAGAAACCAAATTAGGCTAAGCAAGCACCTGACATTATGACTTTAGATGGGTTTGACCCTGGGCAAGTCACTTTAACCCCTGTTTTCCTCTGTTTCATCATTTAAAATGAGAATAATAATAATAATAATGATATCATAGCATATGAGACAATATTTGGGAAAAGTGCTTTGTACACTTCCTGACACAAAGCGGGTGCCATACAAATGATTACTCCCTGCCGCACCTGGCAAGCAGGTCCACTGCCTGCCGAGACACATAAACTTGTACAGAGAATTTAAGGAGATGCCTCTGGTAGCCTGTCTTAGAAGGGAAGGACTTCAGTGACAGAGAGAAGTGACGTCATTGAGAGTCAAAGTCTGCCACCTAAATCACCGTCCTGGCACCAGGCAGAAACACCTTGCTGGTCTGTCATTCACTTGCCAGCTCTCCATCTGCCTCCACTGCTGAGCAGGCAAATCCATCCACAACTGCAGCCCCCTCCCCCCCCCATAACCTTTAGCCTGTGATCCTGACTAATGACCCCACCATGTATAATCTGCATTATGGTGGGAGAGCCAGCCTCCTCATTTCCCCAGCTAGGTTTGTGGCATATGAACAAATACGTTACCTCCTTCCTGCACAATCACCTGCACGTCATCTTCTCAGACCCTCACCCTGACAGGAGTCCTTTGCCATCATCCCTGGTCAGGTTAGATAAATAAACAAACCAACAGACTCCAGGGAGAGGGAGCCACAACTTCCTGAGGTGGACCGGCTCCTGGGCAGTTCTCATTTGCATCTTCTAGCCCTGGTCCTGGTTCCACCCTCCAGGGCCCAAAAGAGTCATCCTAGCTCCTCTTCCACTTGACAGGCTTTCAAATACTGGAAGACAGCTATCATCACTCCTCCTAATACTGTCTCCTGGGAACTTGAGCCACTGGCAAGGGGAATTTGCATTTTTTTTTTTTACTTACTGAGTCCTCAGAGTATTCCTGTAAAAGAGGAGGAGATGAGTCAGAAACCCTTAGTCCATTGTCTGGTTCCCAGGGCAGCCTCTTTACCCACTGTCTAGCAATGTGTTGCTTAAAATCCTTTGGAAGAGAGACCATAGTGGTGTAATGGAGTGGGGACTGAACTTGGAATCAGGAAGGTCTGGGTTCAGATCTCATCTCAGACACTGAATAGCTTTGTGTGACCGTGGGCAAATTACATCAGTCAACTCTTTGTGCCTCAGTTTTTTGTTTTTGTTTTTTTGTTTTGTTTTGTTTTTTCCCTCTGTAAAAAGCGAGGACTACTTTGGAATTCAAAATTCTTGTGCAAAGAAAATAATTAAATGTCTATCCCCTTTGACTCAAGATTCTATTATTGGCATATATCCCAAGGAGGTCAGTGACACAAAGAAAGGCCCCATGTAAGGGGCAGCAAGGTGGTGCAGTGGATAGAGCACCGGTCCTAGAGTCAGGACGACCAGCCTCAGACACATGATACTTACTAGCTATGTGACCCTGGGCAAGTCACTTAACCCAGATTGCCTTGCCAAAAAAAAAAAAAAAAGGCCCCCATGTTCATCAGAGTATTTATAGCAGTCCTTTTTTGTACTAGCAAAGAACTGGAAACAAACTAGATGCCTATTGATTGGGGAATGGTTAAATACATTGTGGTACATGAAGGTAGTGGAGTATTACTGTGCTGTAAGATATAGTGACTGTGGAGAAGTATGGAAAAACTTATATGAACTGATAAAAAAATGAAGTAAATAGAGCCAGGAAAACAATATATACAGTGACTACGGTAATGTTAGAGGAAAGAACAATTACAAAGGAAGCAATTCTATGAAATTTTAATGTTCAAATTTGGTCCCAAAGAAAAGATGTGAGAAGACACTTCAGCACCCTTATTGCAGAGATTGGGACCATGGAATGCTACATAATATCAGTTTTTTTTATATATTATTTGGTTTTGTGTAATTTTTTTCTCTTAGTATAAAGATTGCTCTTTGGGAGAGGATAGAGGAGGGATCATAGTGAGAAATGTAGGTTATATAAAAGCAAAAGATCTAAAAAATTATTTTTAAAATATTTTAAAAGAAATTAACAATGCCAAATATAAGTATGTCTTATTTTCAGGATAAGGTGTGTTAGGATTGTAGTACCTTTAAGTTAGGAGGGGCTTCAGAAGTCATATAGTTCAATCCCCAACCTGAACCATAATGCTCTTTATGTATACTCCATAAAGAGAATTTTTGTAAGCAGAATCATATATTAAATGTACTCAGGACACTTGATATATAAAATAATCTTAGGGAAGTTATTTTATAAAATAAAATATTCTTTTATCAAACCAAAAGAGAGAGAGGGGCTAGCTAGCTTCAATGTCCCTTTAAGTCTACTAAGAGTTGATTGAGGTCTTGGCTTCCTTCCCAGACACATGCTACCTGGAGAAAATATGAATACTTGTTTAGTAGATAGAAACTCAGGGCAGAGTTTTAGTGGGGAAAACATAACAGCATGTTTCCTAGTTAGTAGCCTGGTTGGTTCAGGATCATTTTTTTTTTCTTTTTGACCTGAGCTATAATCACATAAATCATTTTCAGTTAAGTTTTAAAGAAAAAAAAAGAAAAAGAAATAATGATTGAATTTTAACATTTGACTTCATCCTTCCTTACTCTATTATATCAATTGATAGGGAGCGTTCTCCATCAACTTTGACTGGAAAAGTTAATCAACTAGAATTGATTCTTCGACAACTTCAGACTGACCTCCGGAAGGTAAAGCAGTCTCTCGTCAGCTCACATATTATTGCCAGTGATGTTGGCTGTAATACATCTATAGCATAGTGTGCATGCCATGTACTTGTTAAGTGTTTCATGGATTGGATTAATTGATATTTTAGATTTTCCTGCGACCCCTTTCATTTTTAGCAGGGATTGATATCCAAATTGTCCCAAAAGTCTTAGTGCGGTTTTAAGCTTCAATAGTTTAAAACTACACCAAGATTTTTTTTCCTTGGGTGTGGGTAGATTCGTTGGGGGTGGTAAAGAGAGGGCATCCAGTATGTATCTTTAGGGAGATAAAGGTTAAATTTTGGAGGCTTTAACTCCAAATAGGGATAAGCCCCGAGTATAGCCAAGGCCGCTCCATAAGAGATTAAGTAAAGCAGCCCATGAGCCAACCCTTGTAACCATCCAGCACTTTTCATCCCAATTCAACAAGTATTTACTGAGATTGCATTTTGTCAGCTGGCAGAAGATAGACTGATGCCTGCCAAGGGGCCTGGGAATACTCAGCTGGCATCTTTGAGGCCTTCAACACATAGGCCTCGAACTTCACTCTGTGTGCAGTTAGCTTCTCCTGTATAGAAATCAAGGATATGTTAACATGAGAGTTAGAACTCATTTCTTTTGGTAATGGTCAGGACCAGCTGGTGTCGCCACATCTTATCCCACCCCCTCCCTACCTCCACAGGTCCCTCACCCCAGGTCAAGACTTAATCCATCTCCTTTATAAAAAAAGGAATGTTGCCAGTTGGCACTTTGTGTCGCGTGACACACCAACTTTTAAAAGGTTAGAGGTGAAGCTTCTGAAATCCTGAATATTTTAGCTGTGTGTGTGTGTGTGTGTATTCGTGTGTATTCTTTCAGTAAGGTCATGAAAACAAGGTATAACCAATTAACAAAGTGGGAATGAAATGTCCAACTATTTATTTTATCATCCTAACTATATTGCTACCAGTTTTGTAGGTTTAAATAGATATAGTTCATAGTATAAAAAGTCTTGTACAGTTTGTATATCTTCTAATTACAGTCTCACAGGACTTCAACAAAAAACAAATATTTTTAAAGCAATTCAAATACATATGTCGTCTTCCCCTCTGTCCGCACCATCCCCCCCCCCAGACAAAGTAGAATATAGGAGATAGAATGGCTTTCCGTCTTCCTTTTTCTTGATTGCTGGTGCAGCCTTCAGATAAAGTCAGGCCACCTCTTGGCAGAAGTTTCAAAGTTGAATCCTTGGTCTGCAATGCATCACAAACACAGTCTCCAAAGCAAGATATTAGCTTATTGGCTATTTCAGCTGACTCGATTGCTTTTCTACCACCAACAGGAAAAACAGGACAAGGCTGTTCTCCAGGCCGAAGTTCAGCACTTGAGGCAGGACAACATGAGACTTCAGGAAGAATCCCAAACAGCAGCAGCTCAACTGAGAAAATTCACAGAATGGTTTTTCAATACCATTGAGAAGAAATCTTAACTTCCAGATATCTAGCCAGGAACCGCTGTTGGCGCTTCTATCCATTTGAAGTAGCAAAAATCTGATTTTTAACTGTGCTTACAATCAGTTTTTAGATGTTTCCGCTATTTCCGCTCTGTCCAACACCATTCATCCAGGCAAGGTTTGGGGATGGGGTGGGGGGGGGGGTGGGGGGGGGCAGGGACGGACCTCGTTCATGGTAGCCATCTTAGAACAACAGAAAGCAGCAGACGTGAGTGTGGAGATGAATGTAATTCCTGGCTTGAAGATGAATGTAATTCCCGATGTCAGTTTAGACCTCTCATTTAAATTCAACTAATACGGTGCTTGGGCTTACTTCAAGAGGGACAACAGTTTCGGTTTGATTTACTATAGTTCAGATGACCTGGTGAGAAGTTAAAGCAATCTATGGTAACTGGGGCTTCAGTATTGTAAGATAAAGATTAAAACAAATAACCAGACATATACTTTAAAGTTAAAAGGTGCTCTATTTTTTTGGCTGTACAGTAGTTCAATTTCCACAATCACATTGTCATAGCAATAAGAATGGAGGTATAGTGAGTAGTCACAAAAGCTGTGTTGAAAAATCAAAAGTTAGCACTGATGTGTTTAACACTAGGTTGGATGCAGTTACATTAGAGATATATTTATTTGCAGGAACAAATGGTGCCTGAATATTAACAGTGTTTTGATTTTTTTTAAAGCTACACATGCCTTGTAAATGGCTCACTGGGTAGTCTGCTTCAACTCTTAGCTCACTTTTGTATAGTTGCTTCACTGGGGGGAAAAAGACAAGTACAATACCACTTACTTATGAAAAACTCACATATGGTGTGAGCCAGCAAGATTCCCTTGTCCAATGCCAAAATTTGTTTATCTTTGTACAGAAGCTTTGATCAAGTGTCTTGTATTTAACATCCTTATTTAAGCTTATTTAACCTTAAAATGTTAATTTTATAAAGTTTGATTTTATCTGCACTATGATGATGAGGGCAGTTAGCAGCAAGCTCGAAAATCACTGAACTTGCTAAGATGACTTGAGGAGTGGAGAGAAAATTCTAACAATTGGATGCTGCTAGTATACAATTTGTTTGTTACTGCTTTACCATTTTTAATTGTTTTATTTGAGAGGAACATACCTTTTGCTTTTTTAATAAATGTTTTAAAAAATCAACAAATGAATATACTCAAGTGGGTGTGGACTCTGACTTTTTCATTTTTCTGTTTGGATCAGAATCGTCTGTTCCTCAGAAATCTTGTTTGTTGTTGTGGTGGTGGTGGTGGTGGTGGTAGTGGTGGTGGTGGCAGTGTCATTTCAGTCTTATCTGACTCTTTTATGACCCCATTCAGAGTTTTCTTGGCAAAGATACTGTAGTGGTTTGTCGTTTCCTTCTCCAGCTCATTTGACAGATGAGGAAACTGAGGCAAATAGGATGGAGTGACTTAAGGGGATTATTGCAGAACCCATAAGATCACTAGTTTCTTCATCTGTGACATGCCCTCTGAGGCAGCGTTGCTGGAGGATCTCATGTTCTCCTTCCTGAGCTGACTTAGAGAGGACTGTTGCCTAATTCTATCTCCTCAATCCTGAGAAAATAAAAAAAAAAGCTTTTGCATGAACGAGTAAATAAATAAACACATGAATGAAAAAGCATCTCTGTCCTTCCCATCTGCCTAGCACTAGGAATACCAATTCAGAAATTAAGACAGCCCTTGTCCTCAAGAAGCTTGGGTTGTACTAGGGAAGACAGCATGTTCCCAGATAAATAGAGACATATAGAGAAAGTAAATATAAGGTAATTTCAGCAGAGAGGCATTTAGGAGAAATCAGGAAAGGCCTAGAGCAAGTTTAAAAAACACTTGTTAGTTTCAACGTGGAAAAGGTGGTGCAGTGGGTAAAGCATTAGACCTGGAGTCAGGAAAATCTGAGTTCAAATATGACCTGAGACAATTCCTAATTGTGTGACCCTGAGCAAGTCACTTAACCTCTCTGTGCCTCAGTTTCCTCATTTGTGAAATGGGGATGATAATATCAGCCCTCTTCCAGGGCTTTTGTAAGGATAAAATGAGATTCTAAAATCACTTTGCAAATGTAAAAGAGCTGTATAAATTCTAACTATTATTATTATCTCTTGTGTGGTCAGAGCTGACAGAAAACTCCTGCTGTGGGGGGGACCAAAAGCACTTAATTGGCCTAATTAGGGGTAGTTACTTGTCCTCACAACTATCCTCAAGGTCTGTGTAGAGAGAAGGAAAGTGATAAACATCCATTTGTGATCCTCGGGTTGGGGAATGATTTACCAAAGTCCATGGCATAAATACCATATAGTTCTTGACCATTAATATCCAAGCAACTTCATAGGACAAGCTTCCTGCCCTATTATCACAGGACTTAGATGCACACTGAGAAACAAAAGTCAGTTGTGTCCTATGGAGTTCTAAATTGATTGGGCACAGCTGTCCCAGAAGGTCACATTCCTGCATTTGGGTTCCAAGCCCTGCACAACCACCCCTCCCCCAGTCATATAAAAAAGGACTTCAGATCCTCATCACCTTTCTTTCAGAATTTATTTTAAAGTCAGAAACTATACTACTCTCTGAGATCTGAGTAATCAAAGCATTGATACAGCTGTTAGCATCTGTGCTCTCTGAGTACAAGCTGATGTCTGGTTTTCATTCACTATAGCTCACATTGCCTGAAATCTGCAAAGAGCCATTTTTTTTTTATGAAACAAATGTAAATGGGGCTAATGAGCCCCCTTGGCATGCAAATGCCATGTGGCAGCAAGGCTGAGTGTCAATTGTTAATGAAACAGATTCAAAGGTTAGACAACCATGGGCCGATCCATCAATACCCATCAAGCTTTTTGGCACTAGTATTGGGTATCACAGTCTCCTATCTAGTGAAATCATTGAAGAGGGAAGAGGTGCATGGAAGAGCAGGGGTCAAATCCAATCCCGGTGTTTTCATGAATATCTGCCACTCCCAAATTACTACTGGTTCTGAAGGAGCAATTGTATAAATAAGCATCTACAGATGGAGGTTTAAGTCCTTGGCAAAGGTTTCTTGTATCATTATTTATAAAAATAAATTGGGTGGAGATGTTGTGTATCCTTGTCCTACTTCCCCATGACCACAGTCATGGCATACCAAGCAGTGTCTAAGTGCTCCATTAAGTTGGAATAATTAAACATGGCAGTCATGTGTTCCACTAGGAGCTGATTAAACACCTTGTAGAAATCATTACCGAACCCCATCTGGGCTGAGGGCTTGCCAGGTGGCAAGCTGAACCCCAACCCCCACCCCAGTTTTGTGAATGGCAAACTCCTTTAGAAGAGGCATTCTATTTGCCTTTAAATGAGGTGCTCATGGACAGAAATAGCACTTACCCATGGGAGGGAATGGCACTTTGGAATAACAAGAGACAAAAATCAGTTGTTTTCACCTCAAATCCTGTTGGCATCTATTTCCGTTGTTGCTCTGCTGAAGCACCTGAAGGCCATTAATACGTGGATGACTTCATTTTGCAAACAATTCTCTTTGGAGCCAATATTTTATTTGGGGAAATGGTGGCTGGGGATAGTGCGGTAAATCATAGGAACTGAATGGGACTTGTGGCATAAAAGTTGAAGTACATGTCTGTGGCACAGTGCATACTGCTCAAGCACTACATGTGGAAAAGGGATTACATGAACTCTGCCAGATGGCAAAGAGAAAAACAGCCCAGAGAAGAGGCAAATGCCCCAGTTTAAGAAAACTTCCTAAGAGCAGGTCAAATAGAACTAGATTCTTATAAAGGCATTAAGTTCCTGGTCTACAGAAATGTTCAAACTGAGGTTGGAATGTCCACCTGCTTGGGGGTGGTTTTCTAAGGAATTCATGCTTCATAGAACAATATAATCTCTCAGAAGGGGTTCCAGAAGTCATTTAATCTAACCCCTCTCTGAAACATGAATCTCCTGTACAACAAATAGAGTTCTATATCACCTGAACATTCCTCACAAGAATCCTATGAAGAATGTAAGGCAAATAAAATTCCCTTTTACAAATGAGATTGAACCTGGGAGTAGTTAAGGGACTTGATCATGATCACACAGCAGATAAGTCAGAAAGCTTGGCCCCTTTTTTCAGTCCTTTAGTGAATCTTGAAATATATCTGAATAGTTTTCCATCCATGTAGAATGCAATCCATCCATGATGTCTTTGCCCTCCCAATGCATCTTTTACCCTTTGGTAAAAGGGTATTTTGATTCTCCTGAAATCACATTATTCCCTTCACAACCAGTCAGCATTTATTAAGTTCTACCCTGTGGCAGGTACTGGTGCTATATGGAATAACGTGGAAAAATGTCAGTATTAGATAGAATTTTGCAGCAAGGTGCAATTGGGGATATATTAAAGAAAACTGATGGAGGACTAGGGAACCATGAAAGAGTAATTTGCCCAATGATACCTGGTTTTACTGTTTCAGCAATTCCATAGCAAGAGATGAGAACATTTAAAAACATATTTGGTGGGGAAATAGTGTTGAATAATACAAAAGAGAATGGCATAGAGCCAAAAGGGGCCCTGGAAAGCATCCTGTCCAACTCTTCATTTTATAGATTAAAAATAAAAAGATCCAAAAAGGGGAAGTCTTTGCTGAAGGGCAGGCGCATAGCTAGTTAGTAGCAAAATGAAGATGAAACATGAGACAGTGGACCTGGGCAAGACAGAGCCCTCTGAATCCAGGAGATCTCTTTGACAGAGAGCCAGCTTGATGCAGTGGATGGCTTAGTGGTGTAGGAGCCAGAAAGTCAAAGAAACACACATTTAATACAATTTAGCCCTGTGTTCTAGCCGCTGTACCAAACACTATAAATTCAAAGAAGGACAGAAGACAATTCCAGCTCTCAAGGAGCTCACAGTCTAATAGGGGAGGCAACATATAAGCAACTATATGCAAACAAGATATACACAGGATAGATGAGGGGTGGGGGGAATCAATAAAGGGAGGACACTAGCACTAAGGGAATCAGGAAAGGCTTCTTGCAGAAGGTGAGGTTTTAGTTGGAATCTAAAGGAAGTCAGGAGATGGAGATGAAGAGGGAGAGCATTCCAAACATGGAGACAACCGATGAGTTGGGAGATGTTTTGTGCAAGCAGCAG